CACACACACACACACACACACACACACACACACACACACACACACACAGAGCCATGCATTCAAGCAAATACACACACACGCACACACTCACATCCCAACAGGTGTACATGGACGTGCAAATGCCACAAACACGCAATACACGACAAAAGCATTTCTCATGAAAAACAAAATTCACCAACTGTTTACAAATGCAACAGTTACGCTTTAAAGCTGCTGTATCTTTTGCACATTCAACATCTATATATTATATATAATATTTGTGGCCATAATTAAAAAACTCAGGATTGAGTGATGAAATCATGGGAATGACATGTTTGTGTAGAAGCAAAGACGGCACAGATCGATGCCTCGCTCTGACGGTTCACTGAACAGAATCAAACAGCGCAGACAAATGGAAAAGCATCAATCTCTCTCTGCTTCTGAGATGGACAGCATAGGTTATTAATGTTGATGGAATTGGCAATAAAGAAACTATCTGTCTCGTGCGTTTCATACCTTGCTTCCCTCAAAGGGCTCTTCCTTTAGCAGTCAAAGTGGAGGGGGGGGGCACAAAGAGACAAAAATATGTGTGAGTGTAGAGGTTACCTTTTATTTCTGCTCCTGGAGGACAGCCAACTTATTATCCCAACCACACAAAATCAAACAAGCGGAGAATGAGCTTCAGCAAACACCGGCAGTGAACTGAATTAACATTTTCCCCAGACTGACTATGTTTAACGGCTGCACAGTCGACGCCTGGACTATTTCAGTCTTTTCTAACTGTGCTGACATGAGTTTCTCGTCCTCCTCATCACTGCGGTCTATCTTCCCCCGTACTGATGGTGGTGATGATGGTGCTGCTGGCACATGGAGGAGAAGCATAGCCCACTGTCCGCTGCAGAAATAGGCAGAAGCCGAGCGTGTGGTCTCACATAAGTGGAGGTGAGAGTGTGTCCTGGGGAACGGCAGAGAGTCAAGTAAAACACCGAGATTTTGAAGAATAACGTTGATTGTGTGTGTTTTTCTTGCAGCTTCGCACCTTTTGAGGACCAAAGGAAAAGACACAAAGATGAAGGAAATCCTTCCATGTGGGTAAATGTTGCCCATTCTCATTTCTTCTCAGCAACTATTTAGACCCCTTCTTTACAATAAGTGGAAGGATCAAAGGTTAAAATCTACCATGCAATACTTCAAATCAGTGAAAAAAAATCTATATTATAATAACTGTAACTGGTTCAACATAGACAAAGAGATGTCATGTTGAGATACAGTATTTCCAGTGCAAGAAACAATTCATTTTAACTGCAAAAAAATGTTCAACTACTTAAATCTTCAGCAGTAAACTGGATTTAAATAAGAAGTGGGCTTGTGATGTGATGGTCCCTGCATAGATTACTTAACGCTCAGCGGCTGTTTTAGTGGGCAGCTCCCTGATGTAAATGTGTGTAAATAGTGGAATCCTGTAAAAAATAGCTTTGATCATAATGAAACTTTCCTGGATTTATAAAGGTTGAAAAAAAAAAGAAAAAGATGCACTTGATTCTTGGTGATTATGCACCATGTAACTGCTCTGAACCCGATTAAATATGGAAACCTTTGTAGCATGTGATTACCCTCTGTGTGTGTGTGTGTGTGTGTGTGTGTGTGTGTGTGTGTGTGTGTGCTGTCTCTCTAAACTTTCACACTGTAATATGGAATCAAAATGCCTTTACTTTATATTTTAGTGGACTTTTGATAATTTGGCAAAAGTTCAGATTGATCTTTCATTCTGAAAAAGCATGACGCACAAGTAGACGAGGCCGATTAGTGAGAAGCAGCTACGCAAAAAAGAAAGTCTGGAACACGCTGACCATAGATGTTTCAAAGTACGGCCCCCTTAAGTGGATTTACCCTTTAACGTACAGGTGAAAGCATGAAAGTGAAGTTCTTGTGTCACTCTTGGACATAATTCTTTAAAATTCTTTAAAACTGCAATCTGTCATGTGATGCTGGATTGGCGAATGTATTGTCACTGATGTGTAGTGTCACTGAATTTGAACATAGTGAATGAAACATGATCAATATTTCTTAATAATTGAGTGTCGAGAGCAACACCAACGACATAAATATTATGGTATGTTCACTAAGACTCCTCAATGATTTAATCTCTGAGGGATTAAATCATCAGATTAGTTAGAGACATAAGGTCCTTAAAGGTTCAATAAATAACTCATACAGGTTTAACTTTGGGCATCAGGAAATCTGCATGTCTTTTTGTAAATGTGGTCGCTGTCCTCACCGTGTAAATCCCGCCGAAAAGAGGAGCCAAAAATTTGCTCAGGAGAGCGGCGCACAGACTGGCAACATGAACAAAGGGTCCCTGAGGGAGAGGACGGAGAGAGATTAGGATGTTAGCAGACAGGATATGACTGAAAGCACATTCCAGTAGAGCATGCTGTACTCGAGTTCAGGGGCATTACTCAAAATCGATTAACGCCTGCTCAGATTCAGATTCAAACAACTTTAGAACCTCCCGAATGGGGAAACGCCAGCGTTATTAGCAACAAATCACTTTTTTATTTTCCCAGCAGCGACTTTAATGAGACTAGAAGAAGCAAGATGATTAAATCCTGCCCGACAGGAAACTTCGAAAAATTGTCAAAGCCGTCTGTCATGTGTAATTTGTGCAGCCCAAGAGACTGTGATGGAGTGAGATGAGATGGAAAAAGAAACCCTCTACCTCCTTTCCCAGAGGCATCCCGCTGCCCAGAGCGCAGGTCAGACCAATGACTTTGGCCACGAACGTCTTAAACGTCAGGTACTCCTTCAGGACCACCCCCCTCAGTATGGTCTTCATCTCAGGAATACCTGAACCTGGGAAATGAAAAGGAAAGAGACGTCGGGTCGGATGAAGGAGAGGAGAGAAAAGACGAGTTGAAAGGAAGAAATTACAGAGAAAAAAGGATGAGGGGAATAAATGAAGAGCGAGGGGGGGGGGGCGAAGGGGAAGAGCTGATTGATATTCATATAGTTTTCTGTATGCACATCTCATCACAGCTATACTGCATGGATTTCCTGCAGACGTGACCACTACGACACGGACAGCACGTGTCCTTGGAGGACCTTATGCTGCATTACAGAGCCAATGACATTATACAAACAGAAATATGACCAGGAATTAGAGACATGAATACATGTGTTTGTGCATCAATAGTTGAAATGTATGTGTGTGTGTGTGTGTGTGTGTATGTCTTACCCACAGCCTGAGGCGCCAGTATCTGTGTGAATCCTGCTGAGAAAGTGATGAGCACTACAGGGTAGGTGACCCAAGCGATGTACTGCAGAAGCATGTTGCTGTCCAGTCCACCATACATCCACTTCTGTGCTGCACACACACACAGACACACACAACTTCATCTCAGTATAATGCGGTAGAAAACTAAACCATTTAACAGCCAGTTTCCCCGTCTAACATGATTTAGCGGTTGTGAATAGATTCACCCGATTCCTCTGCTCTTCATTAATGCCCTTTGACCTCCCTTCTCTGTCTTATTCATGCATTTTTCTGCTCCTACAGCAGCTTTGTGGCCGCCTCGCCATGATTGGGGATTTAGCTCTCTTCCTATCTAATCTACTATTCCATGAAACTCATTTGAGGAAGCGGTTCTTTATGCCGGCATTCTTCACACCTAAAAGCAGAGATTTTTCTAAAACACTCTCCATAGTGGATAAGTGTAAAGTAACATCATTTGAAGAAAAAAAGAAATAGGTTAAAAGTAACAGAGGTTGACAGAGGAAAATGATTCATGAATACACCTGCTCATATATTCATGGATAGACATTCAGACTTCAAAACACTTGTGGTACTCTGTTATTTTCATCAATTACAGGTATTTTATTGATGTGAGAAAGAAAGAGGGACTAACATTTTGAATTAAAACAACACAAAGTTATCTCTATCGGGATGTGTTGCATTACAGGTTAATCATTTCAGAGGATTTTCTTTTTTGCGTTATGATTGATGCATTTGATGCTATGTGTAAGTAAAAATGGTATTTATTGATCCTTTAAATGTTAATGAAAGACATAAGCGCAAGATTAATATAATTCTGCCACAATTTGTGTTATTATTTACCATTTACAGCTGTTTGCTGTAAAGCATGGCTCATTAATACTTTCCTGCCTCTGTGAGAGCAGCCCTTCATTCACCGCAGTCTTTCCTCTCTCTCTCTGTCTCTCTCTCTCTCTGTGTCTCTCTCTGTGTCTCACCTTCTTGGCAGAAGGCGATGGCGTAGTCCATGACCCAGCTGACCAGAGCCATGAGCAGCCCCAGCAGAATGAGGAAGATCCAGTCCTCCCCCACCCGCGAAATCAGGAACTTCTGGCAGCGAGACGCACACACTGAGGGCACAGAGACAGAGGAAAATGCATAAAAATAAAATCCTTGAAATGAATCTTAAAAGGTGTGAAAAGGGACTGAAGGAAAAATATTTGTGGGTGTGAGAATGAAAGGAACCAGCTGTGTCAGAGGGGAAGGAAAAGACAGAAATGAATATGTAGTGAAGGAGGAGAAAGGGATGAATGGAAGGATTTAGGCCACAGAAGCACATCGTTTTAATTTAAACACAAATTAAAACGATGCAGATCAACTTATATGAAATTTAAAAGAAGCACAAAAAAGGTTAAGATATAAATGCAAGGAAGGATTAGGCGATGCAACATACATTTGATATACACTTGTGATAGCACGCCGCTGTCTTTAACATCTCCAGTTAAATGATGCCAGTACAAGCAATGTGTTCAAGGAGAAGGCGCTGATGCATGGAAGTATTTTGGCATCAATGAATTGTCAGGTATTTAATTAAGCAGATTAGCCAAAAAGATACATGAGTGTGGTTCATTTCATCTATGGTCTCTCAATTTAAAATATGACTACATTTGTTAAATGAGCTATATCAGGCTGTGTGTCACTTTTGTGATTTTATCTATATTGCCCAATTATAATGAGAACATTCATAAGAGTGAATAAAGGATTCAGTTTCCCATGACCAAAGAAGAATGTTGTATTTAAAGACAAGGAGAAGAGTGGACAGAGATATTATCTATTTGAAAGAACAATAACAAACTAAAGGAGCTTATTAAATGGCAAATGTGTTGAGAATGAGAGCATTGCTTTACCTTCATCTACCTCAAATAAAAAAAAGAATACAGACACGGTACAAAGCTGGGTCACGGTTTATAAATTCTGCCATTACATTATAATCTATAACTCTGAGCTAGGTCACGCTAAAAGAGGCATCACTGGACTCATTTCCTCTCTGTCTCGTCTGCGGACACTGCCAAAGCCTGGAATTCTCTTCAACATCCAGAGCGTTCATAGACGTGCCCGTCCCAAGAGACGCTCGACTGTGCTACTAACACATTTACCACATCCATATTTCATAAAAGTGTGACAGTCGTGATGCACCGAGTTGTTTTGATCCGTTTACTCTGCTGCTCGGAAGTCATATAGTGGCCATGGAGGAAACTGTCGCATCTTAGGAGAGACCAAGAGAGCAACAGATGTGATGATGAGAGTGAAAAAAATAAATAAATTCCTGTTTGGCTGACTTTTGCTGAACACTACAGCTCCAAGGTGTCTCAGGAAATGCAAACGAAATGAAAGTTTCAAAAACTTAAAAAAATAGAATAATGGCTCCAAACTATTTCTAAAATCAAATAACTATTGAACATGAGACAGCAATCTTACAGATGCATCGTTATCCCCCTGTATTTACATGTTCTAACTCTCATAATTGTACTTTTCTTTTCCTACACTTGTCAAATTTGTGACTATGCTGTTTGTATGTTTATACCCACAAATACTTTTGTTGTTTGAATGACATTGCGACTGCACAGACATAATAAACAATATAAATGAATGGGAAAAAGACAGACATTGCAGCAGTCTTTTTCTGGTGCAGGATTCGGGTCACGCAGGGATGCTGACTGTCCTGCGGGAGGTGGAGCACAACTGTGTGCATGACGTGGCGAGCTGCCCGGAACGTCAGGCCACCTGCTGGACGGTAAGGTGCCAACAGAGGACGTACGCATACAAACGCAGTCATGTGCAGACAAACCCATCACACAGTGGACACTGTTTTTAAGTTTAAAAAATATAAAAGAAACATGTCTGAGAGAAATATTTAAAGGTGAATCTATCTGTGCAGATTGGACTGCCATGTTCTTCACTGGATCTTTCATTATTTCACAGGTCACTGGACGAAGCTGAGGAAATTCACAATCCCATAGCTTCTCTTTCTTTATTCCTGTCTCTCTCTCTCTCTCTCTCTCTCTTTCTCTATCTCACATACACACACATCTCGTCTGGTACCTGCAAAGCCACGTACTTCCGTGTGCATCTTGGCTCTCGCTCACATCCGGAGGCTCAGTGGAGATCACAGATGTCTTCTCCTGATCTCATTATAAAAAAGAAAAAGAAAATCACACCGCCAGAAATGTTCTCCCCACCTCTGCTAGTCCTGCATTCCATCACCTGAAGCCAACTAGCTGTAAATCAGGAACAATACTAAAAATATGCAGGAGGTGTTCCACCTTTAAACAGTATGTTCAAAAAGGTGCAAAGCCGCTGAATGCGTAATGTGACATAATACACGATGATGCCGTTCCTGGGAGGATATAACATCGGCTCTACAATCCCCCCCAAAAAAAGATTCACTCTGTGAGTCAAAATAAAAAAGGCAGCGCATGTCTTTAGCTCTCCATCACGACCGGTCGCAGAGCCCTTGGCTGCAATGTGTAGGCTGCCTTGTTCAAAAGCTGCGGCTCCAGTTACTGATCTGAACAGAGGCTCACACACTCTTAGTCCATCACCCACGGAGCTGCTGTTCCCACACAGATATATGAGAGGGGGGAAAAAAACCAGTAAAACTCCCACTTCCAAATCTGAAAAGGTTCTCTCCGCACACATCACTTAACAGGACAGCAGCAGTGCCCGTCGAGCCGGAGCGTCTATCTAAAGACGAGTCTAAAAATACAAGCACGGCTTGATCTACGAGCACACGGCACACAGACAGCGAGCACACAAATCACTCTGGCTGGCTCCTGATTTCAGTGTGATTGTGTTAAATGGCTTCCATTATGGTGGAGGAAGAGCGAGGCTGGGGACGCTGTAGTGTCGCTTTCACCTATGGCGCAATGTATCGAGCTTTAATCAGAGCACTAGTCACAAGGGCGAAACGGCACAGAAAGCGGTCGCGGACAGCAGCCACGTTGGCTCACTTGTGCAAACACGTGTGAAAACAAGACTGCCTTTCTCTCCCTTTCACACTTTTACTGAGAGAATCAAATATGTTTTAAGATTTTATGAGTTGATTTTTGTTTATAAAAGTGATCAGTTCAACCAAATCTATCCCAGCATATTCAAACCCCTAAAAACCCCAAAGATACCTAGTTTGCTAAGAAAGCCAGCACATTTTCACATACAATAATAGAACTAGTTTAGATTCAGGATTATTATTGTAATGTTATTGGATAATGGACTACACATTGGCGCTCAAACCACACACACACACACACACACACACACACACACACACACACACACACAAAACAATTCTTAATTCTCTCTAGTATTATCTAACCAGGTATATAATTTGGGTTTTATGTCGTTGGTTTGAAGTTTCAACCACCAGGAGATAAGAACTTCATTTTTGGAACTCACAGCATTGAGGAATGACGTTGCAACGCGTCTTTCCAAAAGCAGTGTCCTTGTTACTGCGGATGATCCGCAGACATCAGCGTGAATTGATTTTATGGGAACTATTTCTACACCGCAAAGGAGTTCTAATGTTTCAATTTGGGTGAACTGACCCTGAAAGAAATGCATTGGCTGCTCTCATGACTTGCAATGAAGGTTAAATAAAGTACATATGACACCCAGTGAGGATCTGTCACGCCTTTATATTGTACATCAGTCTGAAGTGGAGCTCTCTTCTGGTGCCACTCCCTGATCTGCAGTCATCTGGGAAGATGAGACATAAAATAATCTGACAGTTCAGATCAGAGTTCTGCTCACACAAACAAAAATACACACACGCGTGCGCACACACACAGACACAAAGACACACTGGCAGCCAGCAGAGGGGGCTGTCTTTGCCTGACATTGAGCCCTCCTTGGCTGGAGGTCATTGCTCAGACCGGTCACGTTTAATCTTGTTCACATCCTCTCCTGCTCCCTTGTGTCAGGTAGCCACTCTGCTGTGCTTTAAGAAGTCAATGTTTTCACACAACTTTCACACATGCTGGAGAGCTACAATCTCTCACACACACACACACACACACACACACACACACACACACACACACACA